CCAGAGCTCCTTAGAGAGAGATGCAAATCAAAACAACAATGAGATATCATCTCACACCAGCAATAACAGCAAAGATCAAAAAAGTAGAGGACAATAGATGCTAGCGAGGATTTGGAGAGACTAGGACACTCCTGCATTGCTGGTGGGACTGCAAAATGGTCCAACCTCTCTGGAAAGCAATATGGAGCTTCCTCAGAAGGTTGGCAATAGAAATACGTATGATCCTGCAATTCCTCTACTTGGTATTTACCCACAAGAAACACGAACCATAACACAAGTAGATATATGCACACCAATGTTCATAGCAGCACTATTTACAATAACAAAAAGATGGAGACAGCCTAAGTGCCCATCAACTGAAGGATGGATAAACAAACTGTGGTACATACACACAATAATGCCACTTTGAAGAATAACAAGGAAGCTGCAAGTCGCCGCATTATATGGATGAACCTTGAAGGCATTACGCTGAGTGAAATTAGTCAATCACAAAAGGAGAAATACTGCATAGGACCACTATTGTAAAAGACTAAGAAAAAGAACACATACTAAAGGGAGGGGGGATTCTTTGCTGGTTACTGGGATTTGGAGGCTGGGGTGAGGGGAGGGAAGGGAAGGTAGAGCACAGGGTAAGGAATAGACACAGGATAGTTTGGGTGTTGGGGAGGGGGGCAATACATAAGAAAGGGGAGGGGAACGGAAGAACAAGGAGGATGGGAGAACAATTAGGGAGGTTTGCATGGGCTAAGTGGGACTGAGGTAAATAATGATGTATGCACAACCTTGGAACAACAGGGCTCTGGGATACAGGAATTGAGGGATGGTTGGAAAGCGCAAAAGGGGAGAAACAATATTAAGGTGCTTGGCTGTCTTTGGAATCTTGGTTTCCCTTAAAAAACATTATAAAATAGACACTGGAGGGGGAGAGAAAGGAATAGCCAGAAATATCACCATAGAAAGCTTGTAAGTCCGTCTTCTGCCTATAACTGATTGGAATACCTAAAATGGGGCTACAACGTGCCTAGTGAAGGAGGCTTCCTGTGGAGCCTCTTCATTACATAAGACCACAGGGGGAATCCTGAACCCCATCCAGAATCTTCAGAGGTGGGAAATTTCCACTTGAAAGGATGGAGAGACCAGCCTAGAGTGGCTAGAAGAACAGAAGATACTTCTTGAAAGAAAGACCTACAGGAAAAATGCAAAACAATAATGGCAGTCCAACTGACTACTACAAGAACAAGCAAGTGGCTTGCCCAGGAGACATCAAGGCAAGTGGTTGGGTCCCTTCAGGGCAAACCCCCTTCCAAGACTAAGACTCAATGGGAATACACAAGCAGACATGTGCTCTGACTAGCGACTACGTTGGTCACCGATAAGGGAGGTGAGGGAAAAACAGTAATAAAGCAGCAAGCTAAGCCCTTCCACATTCAACATGTGAACCCGCATGGAGACTTGGTTGGCCAACAGTGTGCATGACCTGGGGACTCCTAGGCCCAGGCCCAGAGTCAGTGACATAGCCACAAAGGACTAGAGCAGAGAGTGAAATGTTCAGTGGATAAGAAGTGAGGGCATATACACAAGAACACCAACACTTGCAGATAATACCTACTTGACCTGGCTTCAATGGCTGAATGATCAGAATTCAACTAGAAGAAGAAAGAAGTGGGAAAAAAGAGTAATCTGATGCAATTTGATGAATTTGACCTATACCTATGGATGCAGTAGCTCAAAAGAGGAAACAAATCTTTACAGTGAGGATCATTCCCACCCCCTCGATACACAAGATAGACAGGGATGGGCAACTTGGACATTGGCTACCCAAAATGGGGGGCTACAAAGGCAAGAAGTGATTGGCTTACAAACTTTCCATAGAGAGCCTAGATCCAGAAGGCGTGGAGAAAGGCAAAATCTCTACAGAGTAGTATCCAACCTGTCTGGGTGGGGCTGATGAAAGGAGATGCGGATGGCTCTCATGTGGCACAATAGTGAAAATTGCTATCAGGACTAACTGTGAGGGTTGGAAATGTAAAGGTAGATATTTTGTAGCAAAATGAGGGCAGTGGTTGACTTTGCAGTCCAGGAGTGGAGGTCCCTGGGAGCATCTAGGGAAAAGAGCAGAATACGGGACCCTACCCAGAGAAGCAGTGATGCCAGAGATGAAGGCAAAGGTGATGACGTGAAGACGGAACTGCTGGTGAATCTAGACCCAGAGAGGGAGAGGAGCTGTATGCTGATGACCAGGGGTAAGGCTTGCAGGGTATATATATATCTTTAGTTGGTTGATGATGCATGGAGGAGATTGTAACCATGGCAATGAAACTATAAGATAGGACGAATGTAAAGCTAATGTTCTCCCATGTAAACTATCACATATTCACTAAAAATATATTTCTAAAGATGTATAGCAGAAAATAAAAAAGTTTACTTGAACAAGAAATAATAAAAATAATTATAATTACATCTAATTTAAAATCATATATTATGTAGGAAAGATGCATGTTCAGTTCAATGATTATTTCTAGAAAAGGCAACAAAGGCCAGTATTAGTATTAATTGTTTCTCCTAAAGGAAGTTTTGCCCATTCCAAGAAAAAATATCAACTAGCTGTCTGACTTATTTTTATATACTTATATCTGAAGTTCCTTTATAAAATCCCAGTATCTTATTGCATAACAAGAAAAATATTTGCTTAAATGCTACAATTATACAAATTTTGTGTTCACAAGAACAATTTTATATTAAAAAACAATGTGTGGTGTGGCGCTGCTGGTTAACGCACTGGAATGCAAAGTCCACTTGAACCTGGAGGTCTGAGGTTGAAGTTCACCAGCTGCTCCTTGGAAACCCTATACAGGATCCCTATGTGCCCGGAACCTGACTGGACGGCACTTAACATAACATAGCACATGTTAAAGAGCTTGTAGTAAACTGGATGAACACACAGGCACAACCGAGGTTCCATACTGAGAATGTCTGACGACAAAATTAAAAACAGGAGGCCAGAATCCAGGGTTTAAGTTAATGTTTTAGTGGAGATTTCATAACTACCATGGACCTAAAAGTCGAACAAGATTTTAGTTACACTTTTTTTATTTCAATGAAGAAAATAGATGAAACATGTTAATTTTCCTCAAAATAATATACATTTAGTAAATGTCTAGTGCTATAAAAAGACCTTACCAGGTAAATACCTACCAGGTATTTGTCCCCAGTATGATGTCAGACAGCTTTTTCTATTACCTACCATCTTGTGCTGAGTTAATGACTGCTGTAAGGCTGTATGGTCCATCGCCTTTGTTGTTGAAGGCCTTAACTTTCACTTGAAATGCAGTGGACGGGCGCATGGTCTCATCTTTATGGACATATCTACCAGTGTCTGGATTAGTAACTGTAACTTTTTTCCATTCTTCCCCATCAAATGGTTTAAATGCCACTATGTAACCAAAATTGTTCCCGTAATGGTATTCTCTTGACAGAGGCTAAATAGAAATTAAAACATTGAATTAAGCTACATAGCTACCCAGAAGAACCAAACCAAACCAATCTATGTAAATAATAACCATGGAACTTAACAACAACATGATACACTGACCCCAAACTTAGAAATTGATAATGTGATAATCAGAGTAGAAAGGATGTTTCCTTTTCTTTTTCATCAATCTTGATTTAAAATGTGATTTAGGCACCACTTACAACATATGACTTCAAAGAACAGTGTGACGTCAAGATTTGCTAAGTATTTGCTTATTGAATAGATCAAGTTGGTTCATGTAAAGAATAAACCTGCCATTTTGCCTACAGTCCCTCAAAGTCCTTTGGAGCCTAAATGGCGCTCTAAGATTATATGTGGTGATTAGATATGAAAAATATTTAGTGAATAAATGGATTTAAATAAACATGTTACTTGATAGAGCCAGATATCTAATACAGAAAAGTTTGTGATATCACAACCTCCCCCCACATCAGAATCTCAGCTAAGATATATTCTTTTAAAAAAAATGTTGATCTCTAATATAGAAGTCCCCTTTATTTAATAAAACATATTGGACACTTCAATAAGCAGTCCCTGAGGTGACTTCTAAGACTGACCTATCCTGGTGGATTGCATACACAGAAGAAGTGATTAAAATCAATGTTAAGAGAGGAAGCTGCCTCCCATTTAAAAATTGGTTTCAGTATGAAAATGTGTAAATTGAATCTTTGGAGTTTATCATGTCCACAGAAAATACTATAAACTGTGCTTGAGTTACAAGATCGCAGTGAGTTCAAAATATCTCTGGAATCTGGTGGTTGAATGTTTTATCTTCCAAAACTGACAGATCTCTTAGCATCCAGGATCTATGTTTTGGATAGGAATTGCACACTAATCTATAATGAACTTGGTCAAAAAAAATGATACACATTTATAGAGGAAACATTATTCATTCTTGCTTGCGCACAATTTAAACATTTTCCTTTGCTTCAATATATTAAAGGAAGCAAGATATGTTTGTGATTAAGTATAAGCAAAACAACCTTTAATAGATACAGTTTCCTACTCATACTTACTGCCCATGTTATGGTCAGTTCTCTGTTGCTTCCACCTCCTCCTCCTACATCGGATGGAGCCACATTAGGTGCTGAAACAGACAATTACAACAGAAAGACAGACTATGAAATTTCTTCCTGATTTCAGAATTCTCATTTAATACAGAAACCAGGATTTTTTTTTCTTTATCTAAGAAAGACAAACACATACACAGCATTCGCTTAATTATAATCACAATGGCTCACAGTAGTTATAATAATCTGATTGCTAAAATGAAAACTGATCACAAGCCACAGGGAATGTGCCACATTTCGCGCAACAAAGGGTACCGAGGTACATTTGCAATCTCGTCCAATCACTTTCTCTTTGTGTTTTAATATGATTTTGAAATATTATGTAAACTCTGTTGTGAAGAAGTCTGCTGCATAGAACCCTTAAACTGACTTATTCCATAAAATTGAAATCATTCTGGACAGCTTATATTGAATAAAAGTCCTGGAGTGGTGCTGTAGGATCAGCACTGGACTGCAAGGTCCGTTTGAACCACAAGGTTCACCAGCCGTGCCTTGGAAACCCTACACAGGGTTGCTACAAGTCAAAAACAACTCGACAGCACTGCAGAACAATAATCCTGATCGAAGAGGCACAAGAAATTAAAAAAAAAAAAAAAGAATAAACAAAAAACCACAGTACTTTGTGCTGAAAATATTTTACAGGTCTTATTTTTGAACCCTATGATCTTCTGGTAACTGTTATATTTGTTATATACTTCAATTTACAAATAATGTTAGGAAGTGTGTGTCTGTACTAACACTGTATAATGTTTCTGTAAATATCTGAGGGGGTGGGGGGATAGTAGAAATCGAATGTCCCTTATGCTCCTAATTCCAATATCTAAATCTTTTCAGGAATCTTTCCAGATCAGTGGTTCCAAGCTTGGCCTCTTAAATCATCTGTCGGGTTCAGTCTCTACTGATGAAATTGTACTCTCTTTGTTGTTGCTAAGTGCCATTGAGTCAGTTTTGACTCATAGCTACACTATATAGGGTTTCCAGGGAATGGCTTGTGGGTTTGAACTGCTGACCTTGTGGATAATGAATGGTCGGTCCACTGTTTATCCTATAGCACCACACCAAGACTCAGTTCTTTTTTTCAGTCTGTCCTAAAAAGTCTTTCTGTAACACATTTCTCCTTTTAGTCCCCAATCCTTCATAGTCTTCTGCTTAAAACTATATGGTACTGATATATGACTGTATTTTGTATCTCATAATCACTTTTAAGGAGCTCTGGTAGTGTAGTGGTTACGAACTGGGCTGCTAATCTTACTGTCCGTGTTCCAAACTACCACCTGTTCTATAGGAGAAAGATGAGGCATTCTGCTCCCGTAAAGATTTATAGCCTCGGAAACCCTATGCAGGGTCACTATGGGTCGGAACCGACTCCACGGCACATAGCAACAACAACAATCACTATTAACACCTCAAAATTTGTTTCCCACCGTCTTCATATTACTGAAATTATTCTCAGCAAACATAAAATTGCTTCTAGCAACAAAGTCCAAAGAACTCTTCCTTGTCTTCCTCCATGTTATTCTCTGTCCTGAAACTCCTTAAGGCTATAGCACTATATCTTACTGACACTGAAACCTCAGCATTCAGTGCATAATATGCCCCTGTAGTCAAGTTACTTGGAGACCAGCTATGCAGAAGAAGTTCATGTTTCTACAGAGGATATCTTCCCACATGTATGACTTGGCTCAGTTTTAAACATCATTCTTAAATCTGTTAACCTCTTAAAGAAGAGATTAAATGTCAGTTCCCTGAGTCTCAGACCCTGTACTACAAGGCAAATAAACTATATCATCTACAGCGAGTTCACAGCATACGGTCCATTTACTACTTTGCTGTTTCTGTTGTTGGTAAGTGCTATTTAGTGGGTTCTGACTCATAGGGGACCTGTATAGGGTGTCCAAAGAGCAGATGGTAGGTTTGAACAGTTGATTTAGTGATTAGCAGTTCAGTACTTATCCTACAGCACCACACCAAGACTTCTATTGATTTGTACCTCATAATAATCTTGTTTCAAAGACACACAAGTATATAAAAAAAACTTCTAATATTTACCATGTAAAAATTCTTTGGTGAATTATGCACATAAATTGCAAAGAAACAAACAAAAACATAAAGTCTTCCTTATATCTATAATGCATTCTGATGTTTGTTTGTTTTTTTTCCCAGTAAAGAGGTTATTACAAAGTTTGAGAGATTTCATTTTACTACTTAGCTGCTACCACATACATGTTCAAAAATGAAATTGGGTGCACAGGAATGTTAAAAGATAATTTGCTAGAAATATAGCAAATTAAAGACTGGGATGTTAAAGATAAAATGCTTATTAAAGACTGGGATGTTAAAGAAACTCCTGGAAACTCTTTTAGCCTCATAACTCATATTTTGAAGTTAAAACCCTGTATGCTATGGAGGAGAAACAAAAAACATTGTGTCTTATAAATCAGTGAATAAATCAAATTTTGTATGTTTAATTCTAAATATAGGCATAGTGGTCACAGTTACATGATTTTAAAAATAGCTCTAATAATTTATTATCCTGTAATTTGTTGACTCAAATATTGCTTTTATGAGGGTGAGTACTATTTGTCAAGCATTTCACTGTACTGCTTTTCATCATTACAAATATTAACCTTATTTTTTAGGATGTATCTAAAAAATAGAGTATGTTTATGGTAGATGAATCTATTTTTGCATTTTATAATGATTATTATGAGCTCTTTTTATGAGTTTCAAATAAGTGATTAAAGATGTATTTGCTTTTCAAAGACCATCCACTGAGCTCATGATGGTAAAAACAAAACACAAACAGAAATGTGAAAAAATATATTAATTCATAAAATGTGTGTTTATGTCTTAATTGGATTGATAATTGCCTCAAATGTTCCCATTTTCCTTTGACTATTCAGTTTATCATTAGAAGCTAAAGAGAAATCTTTCTTTAGTATAAGTGACATATGTGTGTGTGTGTGTTGTGTGCCGTTGAGTCAGTTACTAGTTACAGTGACCCTGTATAGGGTTTTCTAGAGCAGCTGGTAGTTTTGAACTGCTGACCTTGTAGTTACTACTGCTCCATCCTACAGTGTCACACCAGGGCTCATAAGCTGTGTATATGGTAAGAAGCTGAGACTGGAGCAGTGAACTGGCTTATATTCATCCCAGCAGAAATAGCAGAAACTAAATAGTGACTTGTTTAAGAGAAGCAAATCATCCTAAGAACAGGGACCTTATTTAACTTCAGACCCAAGAGTATTTAACCGAAAACAAACTAGACATTCTTTAAATGATCAATCGTTAAATTGAATATAAACTATTATGTAGGAAAAATACTGAATTAATCATGAGTAAGCAGTACTTTTTTTTACTGTTAAAAAGAGTGAGGTTTTTTTGTTTTGTTTTGTTTTGTTTTAGTTTGCCCTTTGCCATGATTTCAGTCTGCGATTGATTTCCTTATGATATTTAGAAGAGGACTTCTGTATTTCAGTGATCTAAAGGAAAAAAAAAATCAGTGATCTAAAGAAAATCAAACTTTGTGATTATCCTTTCCTATGAAAAGAAACCAACAAGGCTAATTTTTTTTTTTATATTTGAATGCTTAAATAAATCATATAGAAGTACTTCTTTGGGTTTTGATTGGATAATATACATATTGGTTTGTGACAACTCTCATATTATAAAAATTTTGTAATATATGAAGATATGCCCAGATTCAAAATTAGTTTAGTTCGTGTATCATTACTTTAATTCATGTATAGTCATTTTTAAAGTTAATCATGAATGTAATTTTTCTCTAATTTGTGACAAAATTTCATTGTGATTTAAAACAAAATTTTTAGTAAAAGCTTCAAAATAGTTATATAAGTAATACTCAGAGTCTATAAAACCAAAATAATTGAATTTTAACTCCTGTTTCATCCTATTATTAAATACACATCTCAGACTCCACATGATTCAAGTCTATCAGCCTGTCCACAGAAAAAAAGATGAGGCTTTCTGCTACTGTCAAGATTCAAAGCCTCAGAAAATTCTACATAGGGTCGTTATGAATCAAAATAACTCCATGGCACTTAACAGCAAGTATTTACTGAACTTTTCTGCAAATAGCATGCCCTCCAGTGGCTCCATTATATAATCATTGGACTGTGAACAACAAGGCCATCAACCAGCCTCACCACCTGAAGAAAGATGATGCTTTCTGCTGGAGAAGATTTAAAGCCTTGAAAACCCTATATAGGAGTGCTAGTGCAATTAATAACAAGCATTTATTGAGCTTTTTGCAAATAGCATGCCCATGTAAATAATACACACACAATATATAATGGCCAGAAGTGATGAAATTTAGTAAAAAAATGTTTTGCATAATGTATCCTAGCATATGTTTCCTGATATTTACAGAATAAAAAAAAATCACTTTTTGATCATAATTATATAATAAAGGTATAAGCCATGGTCAAAAAGTCATGGATTGAAATTAGAAGTACCCTGGTAATAAGAAAATAAATGAATGTGTGCATTTGTTTCTTGTAAATTAAGCTTATAATTAGATTCCTGTTGCTTTTGAGCCTTCAATTGGAACCTGGAACCTACTGAATGAAGCCTCCCCATAAACCATGTGCTATCTGTTGGAAACATAACACAGCCCAGCCCACACTGGCCTAAATGGCATGGAGTAATTATCAGTCCACATTGAAATAATTAGCACAGCTGTCTTCTGACTCTGGTTTTTAACCGGAGGAGTAAACAAAGCAAAACTAATACATGATTGCTCTTGACTCAACAGTTCAATGCAAAAACCTTAATAGATTATCTTAAACGAAACCATTAAGCTACATTAATCAACAGTGAAAAGAAAAACAAAATAAAACAAAACACAAACCCACACTACTATCAAGTGGATTCCGACTCATCACGACCTTATATAAGGTTTTCGAAGACTGTAAATCTTTACTGGGACAGATGGTCTTTTTTTGTTGTTGTTGTTGTTGGAGCGGCTAGTGGTTTTGAACTGCTGACCTTGCAGTTG